TTTATTTATTTATTTATTTATTTATTTATTCTATTTGATAATGAAGCAAGTTCATTAGTATTTTGCGCTGCATTGTTTTTTGGACATGAGCCAGTTTTTCACAACTCTTGTAAAGCTAAAAACAATAAGTGAAGGAGGTGCAACTACCCGTAGATTGGTTTTTAACACGAAGTAAGTTGGAATCGAGCTATGTTAGTTGGTAGGCTTTGATTTTAGAAGCAAATAAATTTAATTTTTATGCGATGGAAAACAACTTTTGAACATCGAATTATTTATGCTAACATGCACTGAAAATTATCATTTTGAGTAAATTAATTTCATTTGAATTCAAATAATTATTCATTTTAAGATTTGATCTTAGAATGTCACTGCTTTAAAATGGCGAAGACTTTGCTTACCAAATGGCAGCACTTCTCGACTTTTCACATGTAGTGAGGTTACGTTTAGTGAATAACATGGACCATCACATTCCACAACTGGGACGGCAAATCTGAATAGAGCGAAATTAGGTGTAAACTTTGGTTTCGATCTGTCATCATAATTATTTCTATGATAGCTTCCCCCTGAACTGTTGGTTTCCGCATAAAAGATGGGAAGGTGGAGTAGCAGTCTGAGGCGCGACCTTGTACGAACCCTACACTTGGATCGGACCCTGTACTTGTCCTTACGGGTCTGTTCTTCATCGATATTCCTTATTTGATAACCTAGCGACAAGGTAAGTAAGCCCTCAGTCTCGAAGTGAGTAGGGGTTGGGTTGTGCTCAGCATTAGGGATTCATGGCAAAATTCACTTGAGAGACCTTGGCAGCTCAAACCAGGGTTCCAATCCCAGAAGAAATCATTTTTTGCAAACTATAAGTACTTGAGCGGTCGTAGATAAGCCAGCTTGGGCCACAGCATTTTTCTAGCGGTTTTTATTCGAGGTAGGACTGCATGAAATGGTGTTGATAGGAGAAGAAAACACCAAAAAGTCTTATTCCCAACGACAAACGTCACTATGTCATCCCAAATCAGTCATTC